TATCAAGTTAAAAATTAGCCTGCTATATTTGGTCAAACATTTAATTAACTCACCTCTAGTGCCTTGGCAGGGCCAGACCAAATGATTTATCAGGCCTTATAAGGTCCCAGGGCTGGACATTCCCTACCCCTAGACTAGACAAAGCCTTTTGAGCCAAATATTATGTCACTTTAACATCTGTTTTCTGATTGGCTAAGTTCACAAAAAAGTAGCAACTGAAAAACTTTACATCTCAACTTGTTAATCAAATACTGAAATTATTTCTGATAGCTTGGTTCTCAAATTCGCTTTGCTTCTCAGCTACATTCCAGAACAAAAGACTAGCTCTTGGTAAATGATTGATTTCTTCTGCTTCAGTTCAGTGAAGTGGCACAAGGGTATGAGCCAGTTCTTCCCCACCCCCAACCATCTCTGGGTTTCCTACAAAACTCTTTTCATGTAAATCAGACAGAGACTCAATAGGCACACAATGAAGTTATGATGTAATTAGAGGCCTGGTGTACGAAATTAGTGCACTTGGGGGAGGGGGGTGTTCTCAGCGCATTCTGCTTCCTATCGCAGTCCAGGAGCCCTTGAGGGATGTCTGACTGACAGCTTAGGCCTGCTTCGACTAAGCCATCAGACATCCTTAGCACTGTTGTGGGGGCGAGAGAGGCTCCCGCCACGGCTGCTGTGCTTGCCAGCCATGAGCCCAGCTTCTGGCTGAGCAGTGCTCCCCTATGGGAGCACACTGATCACAAGGGGGCAGCTCCTGCATTGAGTGTCTGCTCTCTGGTGGTCAGTGCACATCATAGCAACCAGTCATTCCCCCATTCAGTCAATCTGCATATTAGCCTTTTATTATATAGGATAGGTGAAAAAGCCTGATTCTAATTCACCCCAATAGAGGAGGAAAAGCTCAAAACAAAAAAACAAAAAAACAAAAAAACAAAAAAAAAAAAAAAAATATATATATATATATATATATATATATATATATATATATATATATATATATATTAACATATCCTGAAGCTTTAGCATCCTAAATCTGAAAAGAATTTTGAAAGGCCATTTAGTGGAATTATTTCCAAATGCTGGTTATGAATTTAGTGCTAATCCCTGACATAATAGTCATTGGTCTAAGAAATATTGAGAAAAATATAGTCAATGTAATAAGTTTTTCATAAAGCTATATTTATTTACTACTTTAAAGAAACCACCCTTTATTCTGAGATTATACTAGTATTTTCCTAGTTTTTTTTTTTAGTACCAATTGTTACTCCTTTTAGGAATTCATGGGTAGCTGATTTTAAGTGTTCTTAATTTAGCAGAATACAAAATTACCAACACTATGACAACTCCCACTTTCTTTTTAAGTTTTACTCATTTACTAAAGTCTAGGAAGCACTGAACAACTTATCTAGTGATCACTTACTTACTTAGCTTTCATGTAAAAATAGAAGATCCATTTCACACAGATAAAAATTATAGACATATTTGATAGGGAAATACCGAAGAGACCATGAGGATTTATTCCTAGCAATCCTCAAGGTTTTTCACCAAATTAAATTCTTTCCTACTACTACTTAAGCCCATTTTTGTTTCATTCTGCTTCAGTAGAAATGATTAATAACTACTAACTATTTTCTACCAATCTCAGACCAGTTTTCAAAAAGGTTTTTTTCAAAAAGGGTCTTCCTGCTTAAAGAACGAAACTGAAAAATCTGGATTCAGAAACTTGGGTATCTTGTTTGTTTAGACCAGGCAACTGGTTCTCTTTCTTTACTATGAAGCTTAGAAAACCTAGGACCTCTTTATCTGCTTGTGCAAACAGGAATGCCCTGCTTTTCTCAAGAACCAGCTAGAGGAGAATTTTGAAAACTTAAACATTTAATCTAAACTGATCAAACTATGAAAGTGAGAGGTAAAAGAAGGGAGGCGAACTTTTACTTTTCAATTGTATACCATTCTTTACTCTTTACCTGTTTACTGAGAACATATATTAGTTTTATAATTTATACATATCAAATTTTAATACAATACAGACAGCAAATGAGCATATTTAAATGATGTTCAACATCGTAAGTTATTAGGGAACTGCAAATTAAAACAACGAGATACCACTATATCCTTATTAGAATGGCTAAAATCTAAAGCACGGACACCAATTGCTGACGAGGATACAAAGCAACAGGGACTGGCCAAAACCGGTTTGGCTCAGTGGATAGAGCGTCGGTCTGCGGACTGAAAGGTCCCAAGTTCGATTCCTGTGAAGGGCATGTACCTTGGTTGTTGCGGGCACATCCCAGTAGGGGGTGTGCAAGAGGCAGCTGATCGATGTTTCTAACTCTCTATCCCTCTCTCTTCCTCTCTGTAAAAAATCAATAAAATATTTAATAAAAAAAAAAAGCAACAGGGACTGTTATTTATTGCTGGTAAGACTGCAAACTGTATACAGTCATGTGTCACTTAATGATGAGAATATGTTTTGAGAAATGTGTCATTAGGTAATCTCACCATTGTGCAAACATAGAGTGCACTTACACAAACCCAGATGATCTAGCCTCCTACATACCGAGGCTATATGGTATAGCTATTGCCTTATGCTGCAAACTTATACAGCATGTGACTGTATTGAATCATGCAGGCAACTATAACACAATGATAAGTATTTGTGTATCTAAACATTAAGAAGGTACAGTAAAAATATAGAAGATTTTTTAAATGGTGTTCCTGCATACGCCATTTATCATGAATGGAGCTTGCAGTACTGGAAGTTGCTCTGGATGAGTCAATGAGTGAGTGGTGAGTGGTGAAAAAATGTGGAGGACTGACATTACTGTACACTACTTTATAAATACTTTACCACTTACATTACACTAAATTTACAAAAAATATTTTCTTTCTTCAATAGACTAAACTTAGCTTTCTGTACATTTTACTTCATAAACTTTAAAACTTTTCTTAACTTTTTGACTCTTTGTAATAGCACAGCTTAAAACACAAACACAGCCAAAACCAGTTTGGCTCAATGGATAGAGCGTCGGCTTGGGGACTGAAGGGTCCCGGGTTCGATTCCGGTCAAGGGCATGTATCTTGGTTGCGGGCATATCCCCAGTAGGGGGTGTGCAAGAGGCAGCTGATTGATGACTCTCTCTCATCGATGTTTCTAACTCTCTATCTCTCTCCCTTCCTCTCTGTACAAAATCAATAAAATATATTTTTTTTAAAATAAAAATAAAAAAATAAAACACAAACACATTGTAAAGCTGTACAAACCCTTTTCTTTCTTTATAATCTCATTATATAAAGTGTTTTCTATTGTTAATGGTTTTATTTTTTTATGTTTTAAATATTTAAGACACAAACACACACATTAGCCTAGGCCTACACAGCGTCAGGATCATCAATACCACTGTCCTCCACCTCCATATCTTGTCCCACTAAAGGTCTTCTGGGCATTCATGAAGCCTTCCTCTCCTAGGACAACAATGCCTTCTTCTGGAACACCTGAAGGAGCTGCCTGAGGCTCTTTTCAAATATGCACCCATGGTGGTTTGCTAGGTTTGTTTCTTTTTTCATTATAGATTTGCTTATAAACGGATAATATACCATTGAATATTCCTATTAATGAAAACCTTTCAGTGTTGAGGTCTATGTTTTCAAATTCTTTAAGGAGCTTGTTGAAGTCTGCAAAAGCTTCTGTTAACCCCTTCATGTGAATTTTCTTGGGAGAAGTCTTTTCTTTCTCTTAGTTTACTTTTTTCTTGACTCTCTTCAGCTATGTGTTCCTGTTCCAGTTCCAGTTCCAACAACTCATTAGTCAATTCCTTAGGCGCCACATCCAGGAGCTCCTCAATGTCATCCTCATCCACATCCAGGCTAAAGTTGTTAGCCATCTCGGCGGTAGCCTTGCTATTTCTACAACCTACTATTCCTTGAAAAATCCTTTGAAATCATGGATTACGATGTCACTAAGCAATAGGAATATCTTAGCTCCATTATAATAGTAGGGAACAACGTCATATATATAGTCCTTTGTTGCCCAAAGTACCATTATAGGAAGCACGACTACAGACACTTGGGAAGATAGTTTGGCAGTTTTTTTACAAACCTAAACAAAAGCTTACCATAGAATTCAGAAATCATGCTTTCCCCCACAAACAGCTTAAAAACGTATATGCACACAAAACTTACACACAGATGTTTACAGCATGGAGCCCAAACCTGACTGGTATGCCTTAGTGGCTGAGCTTCCACCCATGAACCCATGAACCAGGAGGTCACAGTTCCATTCCTGATCAGGGCACATGCCCAGGTTGTGGGCTCCTTCCCCAGTTTAGGGCATGCAAGAGGCAGCCAAAAAATAATTCTCTCTCATGCCCTACCCATTCTGGCTCAGCAGATAGAGCACATCAATCTACAATTCTGGTCAAGGGCACATGCCCGGGTTGCGGGCTCCATCCCCAGTAGGGGGCGTGCAGGAGACAGCCAATCAAAAATTCTCTCTCATCATTGATGTTTTTATCTCTACCTTTCCCTTCCTCCCTGAAATCAAGAAAAATATATTTTTTAAATTGTGCAATTTCTTTTTAAAATATGTTTTAATCCTAACTGGAGGACATGCTTAGAGACAGGAAGAGGGGGAGGGAGGTGGGAGAAACAGGAGGAGGAAGAAAGAATAGAGTGAGAGAAAGAGGGAGAGGGAAGGAGGGAGGGAGAAAGAGAGAGAGAGAGAGAGAGAGAGAGAGAGAGAGAGAGAACATGGATCAGTTGTCTTTCATAGACTCCCCAACTGGGGATCAAAGCCACAACCCAGGTATGTACCCTGAGTGGGAATGGAACAGGCAAACTCTCAGTGCACAGGATGACACTCAACCAGCAGAGCCACTCCATCCAGACTATGTGGGTGATTTTAATGATCTTTTTGCTTCTCTGAAAATTTTCAAATTTTCTATAATAAATAATATTTTTACTATGGAAAAACAATAAAAGCTATTGTATCTAGCAGTACTCACCTGTCCAACTGCTTGCAAGTTATAGCAGACAATGTCCTTATTGGCTGTTGAAGTTCCATAGAGAAGTGCTTCAATGAGCCAGCATATCCCCAGGAGGAGGTCAGAGAAACTCAAATAAAAGAGTGGCCTCATCTGTGAAAGCAAAAAAGCCTCATTTTATAAATTATGTTAACAAGGAATTATTTTTATGTTTTACCTTTTTAGTAGAAACTGGGCGTTGTTTTTCTGGAGCCTCTCCCACTGGTTGACTGTGAGGAATGTAAAGGTATACACCTGGTCGGAGGGAATCTGTTATCACAACTATCCTAACTGTCTGGGAATCAGAGTACTTACAGATTAGCACTGGATCTTGTTCCTCATAGAGACACTCCTTCCTCAAACATAAAATCAAAGTAAAGAATGGGCCCTGGATGGTTTGGCTCAGTGGACAGAGCATCGACCTATGGACTAAAGTGTCCCGGGTTTGATTCAGGTCAAGAGCACATGGCCAGGTTACAGTCTCAATCCCCAGTACAGGGCACACAGGAAGCAGCTGATGAATGATTCTCTCACATCATTGATTTTCTACTTCTCTCTCCCTCTCCCTTTCTTTCTGAAATTAAAAAAAAAAAAAAAAAAAAGAATGGCACCACCAATTAAAAATTCAGAGTGCTGTAGTTGCACAGCCAGGATCTTCTAACAATAGGAAATCAGTTCAGTATTTAGGGATATGGTTGAAGACCCAAAGAAAATGAAAAGTTTTTTTTCAACCTTAATGTCATTAATATGTATTTTTCTCTTTTTTTGTTATTGAAGTATAATTGACAAATAGAACTATAAGATAATTAAAGTGTACAACATGATGATTTGATATACATTGTGAAAGGATTTTCCGAGTTACTTAACATATGCATCATCTCACATATTTACCTTTACTGGGGGCTAAGGAGCATTTAAGTTCTGTTCTCTTAGCAAATTTCAACTATGCAATACAGTGTTATCAACTATAGTCAGTCACCATGTTATACTTTAGATCACATGTGTCAAACACAAGGCCCACGGGCCAAATCCGTCCCGCCAGGCCTTGCAATGTGGCCCGCACCGCACTGTCATCACTGCACTCCGCTGCGTTTCCATCACAATGACAGTTTATGACTGTTCAGTAAACCATTCGGCCCGCGATTTAGGCTGGATTTTAGATTTTGGCCCCATCTCTGATTGAGTTCGACACCCCTACTTTAGATGCTTAGACCTTATCTATATACTAGAGGCCCAATGCATGAAATTTGTGCAAGAATAGGCCTTCCTTTCCCCAGCTGCTGGTACTGGTTTCCCTCTGACACCCAGGACGCGGGCTTGCTTCCCTCCAGCCGCTCGCAGGCATCCACAATCTGGGTTTCATTCCGACTGCCTGCAGGCACTAAGGACCCAGGCTACACTCCAGCCCCAGCTTAATCCAGAATGATGTCCGGAAGGATGTCCAGTCTAATTAGCATATTACCCTTTTATTATTATAGATATAAAAGCCCAAGCGACTGAATGACTGGTCTCTATGATGCACGCTGACCACAAGGGAGCAGACACTCAATGCAGGAGCTGCCTCCCGGTGGTCAGTGCACTCCCACAGTGGAGCGCTGCTCACCTTACGGGCACCAGATGCCAGCTCAGGGCTAGCAAGCGCAGCTGTAGTGGAGTGAGCCTCTCCTTCACCCACGGCAGTGCTACCGGGCCGTGGTGACAAATGCAGCAGGGCTGGGGTAAGCAGCAGTGTAGGGCTCGGGCTCGGGCTCCTCTCCAGCCTCCTGTCACTTTGTGCACTACTACATCCCTTGGGTGATGTTGGACTGCTGGATCAGGCTGAAACCAGCAGTCCGACATCCCCCAAGGGGTCCTGGTCTGTGAGAGGGCGCAGGCTAAGCTGAGAGACCCCACCAGTGCACAAATCCATGCACTGGGCCTCTAGTTTATCTTATAAATTTCCATATCAATGAAAATATCAGTATAAATTGTATATGTTGACTATGAATTTCTAACCACATTGGTGAAGCCTTTCTCACTTCCTAGTATCGTCTGCTTTTCCCCTGCTCATTTTCTTTTAATTTTATTGTTCAGATTACAGATGTCCCTCTTGTTTTCCCCCATAGCTCCCCTCTACCTGGTTCCCACCCTACCCCACTGTCCCTGTTCATAGGTACTGCATACATGCATATAAGATCTTTGTCCAAATATTGTTATATAAATGAGCAGTGAACTAGTCCTGGAATCTTCTGTTTTTTATATTAAGCAATTCACTTATCTTTTCTGGTTCTGTTTACTCATAAGAAAAATAAATTTGTTGGGCTAGATGGAAAAAAAAATAAGATCTTTGTCCCATCTCTTCCCACACCCTTCCCCCTCACATCACATTCCCCTGAGAATTGTCAGCCCACTCCATTTCCATGCCCCTGATTCTATTACATTCACCAGTTTATTCTGTTCATCAGATTTTTTATCCATTTGAATTTTAGATTTACTTGTTGATATATATTTGTTGTCACTTTATTGTTCATAATTTTTATCTTTTTCTTCTTCTTCCTATTCTTAAAGAATACCCTTCAGCATTTCAGATAATACTGGTTTGGTGGTGATGAACTCCTTTAGTTTTTTCTTATATGTGAAGCTCTTTATCTGACCTTGAGAGCTTTACTGGGTAGAGTGATCTTGGTTGTAGGTTCTTGCTATTCATCACTTTGAATATTTATTGCCATTCCCTTCTGGCCTGCATAGTTTCTGTTGAGAAGTCAGCTGACAGTCGTATGGGTACTCCCTTGTAGGTAACTAACTGCTTTTCTCTTGCTGTTTTTAAGATTCTCTCTTTGTCTTTTGCTCTTGGCATTTTAATTATGATGTGTTTTGGTGTGATCCTCTTTGGATTCCTCTTGTTTGGGGTTCTCTGCGCTTCTTGGGCTTATAAGTCTATTTCTTTCACCAGATAGGGGAAGTTTTCTGCCATTATTTCTTCAAATAGGTTTTTAATATCTTGCTCTCTCTTCTTTTGGCACCCCCATAATTTGGATGTTGGTACACTTGAAGTTGTCCCAGAAGCTCCTTACACTATCTTCATATTTTTGGATTTTTTCTTTTTGCTCTTCCAGTTGGGTGTTTTCTGCTTCCTTGTATTTCAAATCTTTGACTTGATTTTTGGGATCCTCTAGTCTACCGTTGAATCTCTGTGTATTATTCTTTATTTCAGTCAGTGTATGCTTAATATCTGACTGGTTCTTTTCCTTTTTTTTTTTTTTTTTTTTTGGCATTCTCACTAAGATCCTTGAAGGTCTCACTAAGTTCCTCAAAGGTCTCACTTAGTTTCTCGAAGCTTTCTAGAAGATTCTTGAGTAACCTTATAACTGAAGTTTTGAACTCTATATCCAGTAGTTTGTTTTCTTCCATCTCTTTCATTTGTGACAGATTTCTTCGTATCTGGATTTTGGCTGCTTCCCTATATTTGTTTACCTCCAGGCCAATTGGCTGTGAGGACCAGCTGTGTATACTGTGGAAGAGCTGCTGTGCAGGAGACACACTTATAGGGCAGGACTTGCTTCAGTGAGGCTTTGGTGCTCAGTGAGTCTGCAACTTGACTGTGTCTCGTATGGATGTGAAGAGCTGTAATCTGGTATGGTCTCACACTGACCACTGGGTACATTGGCTCTTGGATTTCCAAGGAAATGCAGTCAGCCACTGCCTGGGGCCACCCAGCAGGAGCTACAGAGGGATCTACAGATTCCTCCTCTTTGAATGGGATTTGGAAGTGTCCAGATGAGACCCAGCTGTGAAGCAAGGCAGGCTGCTGCAGTGCTGGCTTTTGCCTTCTTTAGATAGCTTTGGGGCTCCCTCACCCAGTTGCAGTTTCACAGGTTTTAGGATGAGAAAGGACAGGTCATTCACATGTAAAAGCCACTGCACACAGCTTGAGTAGGGTTGTAAATTGGGTGGGATGGAGTCTCAGGGAGTCTCCAAGACAGAGCAAACAGCAATGGCTGCCAAGCAGTCCTGCACCAGAGAGGTCCAACTGCTGCTGCACTCACCTCCATCTGGAAGAAAGCTGCCCCCATGTTCCTGCCCCGATCCGAGACAGTCCAGTTTCTCCCTATACGTATCTGGGTCCCCCAAAGTATCACACGGCACTGCAGCTCAGTACCTCCCTCCTGATTCAAAAGCAGCACCTCAGGTGCCAGCCCCTTCCACACCTCCTCTCCTCTTTACCTCCTATTAATCTCAATGCTCTTTCTTCTTTATTTTTCTAGTTGTTCTTCCACTCAGCCAGGTTTCCTGTGGCTCTGAATATTAGTTATGTATTTTAGTTATAATTTTGATATGGTTGTGGGAGACAGCAAGTATAGGTGTTTACCTATGCTGCCATCTTTGTTCCCTCTCCTCTTTTTTTATCTCCCACTCCCACTTTTCTAAAAATAGTTTTGGTCCTTCTACAGAGAAAATTATAAAATATTTATTGAGAGATACCAAAGGAAGACACCAAAGTGAAGAAATATAACATGCTCATGGATTATAAGACCTAATGTTATAGAAATGTCAGTTCTCCCTACATTTATATATAGGTAAAATACAATCTCAATTATATCTCAACATATTTTCTTGTGAAATTTAACAAAATGGTTCTAAATCTAACTGACAGATACAAAATATCAAGGTAACCTCTTGAAGAAAAACAAGCAATACACTCAGAGAAATAGGAGAAGGACTTGTCCTACACATATCAAAACTTAAGCCGGAACCAGTTTGGTTCAGTGGATAGAGTGTTAGCCTGCGGACTGGAAGGTCCCGGGTTTGATTCCGGTCAAGGACATGTACATTGGTTGTGGGCACATCCCCGGTGGAGGCTGTGCAGGAGGCAGCTGGTTGATGTTTCTCTTTCGATGTTTCTAGCTCGCTATCCCCCTCCCTTCCTCTCTGTAAAAAATCAATAAAATATATATATTTTTTAAAAACTTAATATAACGCTAGAGCACAGATACGGTGGTCTTAAACACAGGGATGAATAAACAGACCAATGAAACAGAATAGAGAGCCCCAAACAAACCCAAGCATATATACAGACTTTAGATATATGGTAGAGGTAGCTTTTAGATCAATGGGAAAAAAGATAGTTTTCTCAAAATATGATACTATAACAATATAGGATAATAATAGATATCTATTGGATAAAATTAGAACTTTACTTTTTATCTCACACTCAAAAATCAGTTCCAACTAATTTAAAAGACCGAATTGTCTTTGACTTCTGCTTATGGAAAGTTTTCCTAAACAAAACACAAAAAGCTCAAAACGTAGTAATTGGAAAATTTTACCACATTAAAATAAAATAAATGCATGTGTTAAAATACACCATGAAATGTAAAAATATGCCACAAAGTGGGAGAAGATATTTGCAACATGTATAACTGACAAAGGACCAATATCCAAATAATACTAAAAACAAACAAAGAATTTACAAAGCAATAAGAAAACCCAACAGAAAAAAATAGACAAAAGATATGAACAGGTACTTTAAGAAAAGAGGAAATCCAAATGGCCATAAACACTTGAAAATATACCTGACCTCACCAATAATCAAAGAAATAAAAATTAAAAGCACAATGAGGAAAAAAATTATATACAACCATTTGGAAAAGTTTACCATTATCTGGAAGATATAATATCCTATAACAATTCTGTTATTAGAAAAAGACATTAGGGCTGAAACCAGTTTGGCTCAGTGGATAGAGCGTCGGCCTATGGACTGAAAGGTCCCGGGTTCGATTCCAGTCGAGGGCATGTACCTTGGTTGAGGGCACATCTCCAGTATTTTTAGTATTAGTGCATGTGTGCACTTGAAGACATGTACAAGATTGTTAATAGCAGCACAGATTAATAAATTGTAGTATATTCATGGTATAGAATGCTAAACATTGATGAAAATGAAATAAACCAGAGATATATATAACAGCATGTTAACTGTCACAAATAATATTAAGGAGAAAAAGCAAATCACAAAACAATACATACAAAAATACCTATGTCAAATGCAAAAACTATCAAAATTAAATTGTTTGGAAATGCATACATTACTGGTAAAATTGTACATAAAAATAAAGAAATAATTATCACAAAAATCTGGGTAGTGCCTAACCAGTTTGGCTCAGTAGATAGAGCAATCGGCCTTTGGAATGAAGGGTCCCAGGTTTGATTCTGGTCAAGGGCATATACCTTGGTTGCGGCACATCCCCAGTAGAGGGTGTACAGGAAGCAGCTGATTGATGTTTCTCTCTCATCGATGTTTCTAACTCTTTATCCCTCTCTCTTCCTCTCTGTGAAAAATTAATGAAATATTTTTTAAAATATGGGTAGTGGTTACCTCTAGAAGTGAGGGAGAGAGTTGTGATTGGGAAAAACACAAACAGGTATGCTTAGGGGTACAGGCAATTTCTATTTCTTGTCCCTAGTGTTTGTTTATAATCATTCTTTTAAGTAGTACATTTATGTTTTATGCATTATAATCCATTGATATTTCGCTCTGTCTTTCCTTCTCTCTTCCACTTTCTCTAAAAGATCAATGGAAAAATATCCTCAGTTGAGGATTAAAAAGCAACAACAAACTAATCTCATCTGTACAAAAGAAAATTTTTCTCATGCCTATATTCAAAATTAGAAGAAAGTTAAGATGCTAGTACTTGCTAACAGGGGTAAATGGTCAAGCTGCCTTAAACAAAAACTAGACAATGTCAAAAAATATCTCAATGAATCATGACAAATTTATAAATGAATCATAGAATTATTCCATCATTTATAGGTGGCACCTCTTTTAATTATATCAAAAGCTAAGTCACTAAAATTTCAAATCCAACACAAAAAGAGATTGCTCACCTCTGGAGATTTCTGTATATTCTGGAATACAGCATAAGCAATAAGTGAACTTGAACCTATAACACTAACATAGATAAAAGATCAATAAAATAGGACAATTGGGGTCCCATCATTTTTACTATTGATTTTTACAGCTTTATTGACATATAATTAATGTAAAATTACCTGCACATATTTAAAAATATAGACTACTTCATGAATTTGTGTGTCATCCTTGTGTAAGGCCCACACTAATCTTCTCTACTTCATTCCAGTTTTTAGTATATGTACTACCAAAACTATTGATTTTTTAAAGTAAATCCTATTGACCAATTTGTTCTTTGATTTTCAGAAGTTAGCCCTCACTCTGTATTTTTTGGTCTTATTGTTGTTGATATTGGTACATTTGATTAATCAGAAAATATCAACATGGTAAAGAACATTTCTCTCTAACTACAGAATAAAAGCAAATCCCCACAGAGGGAAATGTAGAAACTTTCAGAATTCTTAAGTTTTTCTTATACTAGTTTAAATAGTCATATCACATGAGATTAAGTAAACGTACCTCAGAGTAGCCATAACAAATTGTATCCACTGTATTGCAAAATAAACCTAAACAAAATGAGAAAATAAAAATAAAACCATGCCTTTTACATTTAATATTAAACCTTATTCCAGTTTCACTGTTTATTAACTATTGGTGCAAAGCATAAACTCTTTTTCAGTGCCTGATCAAAACACACTATAAATCTGAGAATGAGTAGAAAGTCTGAATAGAACCATGGAAAAAGGCAGGGAGGCTTCTTTCTCCTCCCTTACTGCTACACCTCTGGGAAACAGTAAGATAACTAATAGAGAGGTAGACAGAAAGTGACTGAGTGGAAACAAATACAGAGTTAAATGAGAAAATTAATAAAGGGAAGAATAAAATGGAGAAGGGGTAGGAAAAGTTAAATTGTGAGACGGGATACATATATGGGAAGAATGGGTAAAAAAAAAAAAAGACAGGCAAACAAATACTAAATAGAGTTGAATGATAGCTAGATAGACAGAGGAAAACAGAATACTAAGCAACAGAGAAATAGAAAAAAAAGAAAACCATATGGAGAGAGATACTTGAGTGAAAAATACAGAACAGGGAGGAAGAAAGGGGGAGCACAAAAGGAGAGAGCTTCCCCACAGCTTCTAATCTCACCAAGTCCAGATTGTCTGTCAGAATTCTAGCCTCCAGCAGGAAGGCCATAGGGACGTTAGCCCCAGCTATGCTTAAGCAGCCAGATCCTTCTCCGTCGGTTCTGAATACACAAGTGGTGAACAGGTGACTCCACCCCTACCCCAGCTGGGCTCCTCCCTATCCAATCCTGCCCTGTACCTTGAGGGCAAGGAGAGGTGGCAACAAACGGAGGAGAAAGCCAAGCAGAAAGAACAAAAATAGAAAAAGCAGGTGACAAGGAAACAAAGTTCTAAAAAAGCGTTTAAATTGTAAGAAGGGGTGAGGCAGGAGTAATAAAAGTAGAAAGAACAAGTCATAGTGAAAAGTTAAACAGAGATGCAAGAAATGGAACAGAAAAAAGGGAGAGAAAAATAGGGAAGGGAGGTCTGCTTAAAACTTGCCACTTTTTTATATACAGAAGCCTGTAATGAGAAATATACACTGGAATGGATATTCACTCAATCAATAAAGTTTTAGTATTACCAGGAAAAACTGTGGAGAGAAGGGGTTATTAATATCTCATATATTTATTTAATACTAACATCTTCAATATTCTATACCAAAAATCCCTACCAGAAATATATATCATTAAATTATATGATTCATTTAATGTATTTATGTTTACATATCAACTTTGTATAAAGCATTGTGTTATGGAAGATACAAAGACAAAATACAGACCTATACTTATAAAAGTTTATAATATAGTAGGAAAAACAGCTTGAATACCAAAAACCTTAAATTATCTGCACACAAAATCATAAATCCTGATTGGCATTATTTATAAGAATCGGTAAAATTTGGACAAAAATTGGAGAAGGAAACAGAAGGAAGAACATTTATTTTATCAAATGATACTTTTATACATTCTATAAATATTTATTGATAGCATAAATTAGATCATTTGCTTGGCTTGAGTAATTTCAACATATGACATTTATTCATATGAGGTTAAGATATAGTGTGGAGTAGATGGGCCATTGTTAAGTGGAGGTAGGCTGTAATCACTTTAAATTATTAGATAAACAAATAAATGAAAATACCAGTAAATTTCTGGGTCAGAAATCCCTACTATAGTTCTTAGGGAGTGTTTTGCGGCTTCTAATCATATATCCGTGTAATAAGAGTGAGGGGACTAATGACAGTCTCACCAAGTGATAAAGGAATGCTTTTGAACAAAGGACTCTGTCTTAGTCGAGAACAAATCTCAAACTGTTCTGAGAACAGCCATGCGAAATTAGTCTGCTGTTCTTGATAGAACTTTTCACTTTTGGCATCTCTTCTAAAATGTCTATGTCATTAGCCAACATGTGGGGATTTACTTTTCCATTTTTCTCTCTAAATTAGTCCCCTGCCTTCTGTATATTCAGCCCTGTCTTCCTTTGATATGTCTCTGGAAAAATAATCTTCCCATGTTCTTTTTCTACAAATGATTAACCAAGCACAAATGATAAAGTGGGTAATATTTATTTTCAGTTTTCTTTTCTCTTCCTTTTTTAAAAATTTACTTGAAAAGAGAAGAAGAGGGAAGGAAGAGAGGGAGGGAAAGAGGGTCAGCATGGACTTATAAATAATCATGCCTGCCAAAACCAGTTTGGCTCAGTGGGTAGAGCCAGTAGGGAGTGTGCAAGAGGCAGCTGATTGATGATTCTCTCTCATCGATGTTTCTAGCTCTCTATCCCTCTCTTTTCCTCTCTGTAAAAAAATCAATAAAATATATATTTTTAAAAAATAATCATGCTTCTTTCTCCTTTTGAATAGAATTACTACATATAGTATATATGGTATTTTGACAAAACATTTGATAAGAAATTTGGTGATGTAAAAATAAATATAGACCAAGTAGAAGCACAACTAAGGACATTTCTTAAACCTAAGAGAATGCTAATTTATTGATGAGTATCAATTTAGGAATACCTTCTAGTGGAGTGAACCAGCATTCTGACTTGACCCTGCTCTGTAAAACACTCGCATCAGTTACTTGAAAGAAAATATAGTAGTAGGCGCCGAGGCCGGTTTGGCTCAATGGATAGAGCATCGGCTTGGGAACTGAAGGGTCCCGGGTTCGATTCCGGTCAAGGGCATGTACCTTGGTTGTGGGCGCGTCCCCGGTGGGGGGTGTGCAGGAGGCAGCTGATCGATGACTCTCTCTCATTGATGTTTCTAACTCTATCTCTCTCCCTTCCACTCTGTACAAAATCAATAAAATATATTAAAAAAAAAGAAAAGAAAATATAGTAGTAGGCATATTTATGAAGTTGTGTGTGTCACTTACCTACTGCTGCGTAACAAATTTCCACAAATTTAGTGGCTTAAAACACAACCTCACATATACTATGGGTCAGGTGTCCCGGGTTAGCTTAATTGGGTCCTCTACTTCAGTATCTCTCATATATCTCTTCATATATCTCTCTTAATTGGGTCCTCTGCTTCAATACATACATATATATATATATATATATATATATATATATATATATATATATATATACACACACACACACACACAGAAGGAGGCTGCATCATGACCACACAGGAGGAGCTCCGCATGCAAATAGGTGGGAGGGGACTGCGTGCCACCCCCAGCAGGGAGTCTGGGGCTCGGCGGTGCAGAATGGAGACACAACATAGGGAGAAGCTGGGGCTGGAGGTGAGCCGAAGCGGAAACACAACACACAGGAGTGCCTGACCCCCACTTCAGCGGACACAATGCAGCAGCCAGTGATAGCGGGTCAGATGCAAGTCCCAGCCCGCCTCGGGGTGCCCCCTCACATGGTAGGAGGTGGGTATAATATGCTAATTAGACCAGATGTCCTTCTGCACAAAGCCGGGGCTGCGAGGAAGGAAGTCAATGCTAGCAGCCGGGGGAAGGAAGGCCTACTCTTGCACAGACTTCATGCATTGGGCCTCTAGTAAGGTAATAATCAAGATGTTGACTGATTCTCATCTGAATACTCAAATGGGGAAGGCTCTGCTTCCAAGTTCATGTAGTTGTTGGTCTAATTCAGTTCCTTGAGGGTTATTGGTCTGAGGGCCTCAGTTCCCAACTAACTGTTGGCCAAATGCTACACTCAATTCCTTGCTTGCCCTATGGACTTGTGCAAGATGTCCTCCTAGGAAGATGGAAGTCACCATCTTATGAAACCAAATCACTGGAGTGACATTCCATCATCTTTTCTGTATTCTATTGATTGTAGATTTTTTTTTAACACTCAAAAGGATTACAAGAGTGTGAATATCGCTGGGACCAGTTTGGCTCAGTGGATAGAGCGTCGGCCTGTGGACTGAAAGGTCCCGGGTTCGATTCCAGGCAGGGGCATGTACCTTGGTTGCGGGCACATCCCCGGTGGGGGGTGTGCAAGAAGCAGTTGATCGATGATTCTCTCTCATCGATGTTTCTAACTCTCTGTCTCTCTCTTCCTCTCTGTGAAAAATCAATAAGGATATATTTAAAAAAAAAAAAAAGAGTGTGAATATCAAGAGGCAGGGGCCATCTTAATGTCTTCCCACCATGTGTACTCTAATATGTCAAGTACTTTTTCAAATCAGGTTATTTGCAATAGCTGTTCCCTCTCTGGAATGCTCTTCATCCAGATAATCACATGACTGGCTCCTTATCTTTCAAGTATCAGCTCAAATATCATCACCTCACAGATGAACATTTATGAAATTCCAAAATAACTGGTTTATTTGTTTGTATGACTTATAAAAGTAAGGCAAAATACATGAATTGAAAGTGGGACAAAAGGCCGACACCGGTTTGGCTCAATGGATAGAGTGTCGGCTTGGGGACTGAAGGGACCCGGGCTCAATTCCGGTCAAGGGCACGTACTTTGGTTTCGGACATAGCCCCAGTAGGGGGTGTGCAAGAGGCAGCTGATCGATGACTCTCTCTCATCAATGTTTCTGACTATCTCTCTCCCTTCCTCTCTGTACAAAATCAATAAAACATATATTAAAATAAAAAGTGGGACAAAAGGAGAAAAAAAATTTTCTGCTGAAATGACTTGATGCCTGGATGTTAAAATCTGAGTTTCAAAATATTACTCTATTGAATAAAACAATATTAAAAATAACAGAGCACTAGCTGGTTTGGCTCAGTGGATAGAGAGCATTGGCCTGCAGACTGAAGGGTCCTGGGTTCAATTCTGACCAAAGGCACATGCCTGGGTTTCAGGCTCAATCCCCAGTGTAGGGTGTGCAGGAGGCAGCTGATCCATGATTCTCTCTCATCATTGATGTTTCCATCTCTCTCACGCACATGCTCTCCCTTCCTCTCTGACATCAATAAGTAATAATAGAGGCCTGATGCATGAAATTTGTGCATGAGTAGGGTCCCTAGGCCTGGCCAGCAATCAGGGACAATCAGGTTCCCCACCTGCCCCCCTCCTCCTTCCTTCTCTTCCAGTGCCCCGTTGCTGCTGCTGCTGGTTGTCTACCATATTCCACACCGCCCCCTGGTGGTCAATACACATCATAGCAAGCAATTGAACTCCCAGTCTTCTGGTAGAACTCCCTAGGGGACAATTTGCATATTAGCCTTTTATTATATAGGATATACATATTACACACACACACACACACACACACACACACACAAAACAAAAAACACAAAAAAAGCTGACTCCAAATATTTTAACTTAATAAGACCCTCTACAACATGCCCTTTAAACACTTATCTGGCTTTTCCCCTTTGCTGTTTGCCTTGTAAATGCCTTTTCTTTCAAGATCCATCTTAAAAGTCATCTCCTGTCTATAACTTTCCCTGACATCCCAGAACAGGACTGACTGAATCTGCACAAGTATTGCCACAAGACTGTATTACAGTCTTATTATCTACCAATGCCATCGTCAGTGTTACATCACTATTCCGAGGTCTCCTCCCCGCACACTGACTTCCTTGGGCACAGAGCTCTGTCTCAGTCATCTCTGCATTCCCACAGGCAAACCCGGGATCCGGTGTAAACCAACCGTACCCTGAACAAACACCTGCTGTAGAATTTTTGGAGGCCTAGACGGGTGGGGTACTCAGCTTCGAATAAAACCTGGCGCCTCAGAGTAGGCTCGACTGTGAGACTGGGCAAAGGGCAGGTGACCAAGCCCGGCCTGGCAAGGGGAGGTGGCTGAGGATGCCTGGCTGAGGGGAATACAGAGCCGACCAGTAATTCAAGTCAGAGTAACTTGACAGACTAACCGAGGGTAAGGAGTCCATCCCAACCGCCTGCCTGACGGGCCGGAGGGGAGGAAGAAATAAGGCTGTGGCGTCGTCATCTTCAAAGACAAGGAAAGACAGCGAACCAAGCGCTGCAAAGACGCCGAAGCGCGCGCCTCGTGCCTCACCTCACGCGGAGAAGGACGGGAAAAGGCGTGGCCGGTTGTGCGCCTCCGCGCGTGCGTGCGCGTGCGCGTGCGCGTGCGCGGCAGTCTC